AAAGGAATAATTGTGCTCTTAAATAATTATTTAGGATTAAATTTAGAGATGATTAAATAAAGAAAATAGTCAGATTATTTTATTAAGATTATATATTTAAGTTTTTAAATAAAAATGTCTTGATTTCCCGAATAAACGCCGATTATAAATAAGAGTTCGAAAAAAATTATAACTACATTCTACATGACTAAATATTATTTTTCTTGTCTTTATAGTTCTTATTGGATACTATGTGGGTAAAAATAAAAGCTTTTTAATAAAACGTTGTAATACAGCGTATATTTTCTTTAAATTACAGAAATTTTCGTGTGGTTTAGACCCGTAACCCTCGAAAATACGTTATGACATCGTTTATTAAATAATATTAGAGAAAATATTAGAAAATTAATAGAGTAACTATTCCTCGATAAACCTTTTAAATCATTATATTAAATCTTCTACTTTTTAGAATAATTTTTGAACAGCAGTCACATTTACTGTAATTTATAAGAACACTTAATGTTTTAGTTTTAATAGGATAAACGATTAATATGTTAATGTATGAGGGTAAAAAATAGGAGAAAAACATAAGGACGGGTAAAGTAAAACGACTATAATTTCTCACGTGATAAACAGGCCACAATGGCTTATAATTCTTAAGTTAAGTAATCCTTTTGATCTTATTCTTTTTATTTGGGTTTCTGAACAGTTTGTCATCTTTTGTCAACGTTACACGAAACCATTGAAGTTTCGATTGACAACAGACGTGTGCACTTAAACCAAATGATACAATGTATACGTGATAATTAGAATGATCCGTTTTTGTCAGCTTATGATAACGTGTAGAACACAAGTTTGTACATTCTAACAAAGTACACACAGATAATCCGGTTTGGGCAGACAAATCCTCTTAGGAAAAAATTATAATGGTGACAAATAAAAAACAAAATAAATCCCTCTTTAAAAGAAAGATGCCTTAGGGGTGAGTATTTTACACGTAGTGCCATGGACATATATCAATGCAACTTGGTTGTCACGTACAGGATTAAACAAGAATTATCTACGTAAGCGTACGAAAATAATGCTTTTCTTGTTGACATCGTATAACTTCAAGTAATAATATCAGATATTCTAAAGAGCTCGGTCGATTATTGATGTGTCGTGATAATGTCTTATAGGACACTTCTGTGTCCTATATTAAACCTTTCCCTTATTTTCTCTCTATACATATACAAAAATAAGTATACTGTATAATAGTTAATACAGTTGTTAATACTCAACAACCCGTTGGATGTTATTTCCCTTCATTCACCCACCGACAATATCGATTGTCCTTCCGAAGGCATTAAAGTTTCGTTTAATATCTATAAATGATTTCTCACGGTAAAATTCGATCCGTTTCCACGTGTTGTTTACACAGGCGTTAAATGTCGGACAGATGTTCCTTCGTCAAATCATGTTTCGATAGAAAACACATCGCATAATCATCAAAATGTATAAGTAAAAAATCACTAACGCTATGCATGGTCAAACCGTGATATTGTATGTCTTTTGTGAAATATTATTTAGGTAAGAACCGGTATTGAATTTCGAGTATTGCATTTATCATAATACTAAACTCTTGTCAATATAATAATATGATAATGGCTAGTCATAAATGTATGAATATTGCTCGATACGTTTGTTTACGTTTACTCTGTAATTTTAGAACTTATGAGATAATTATGTGTTTGGTAAATTCAACAAAATGTAGTGAACAATTTTTTAACGAAATGTATTCTTATACTACACTAGTGATTTACCGTAGACCACTAGATTTATTCTCAAGTAATAATAATTTTTCTTTAATTTATTTGAGTAGTATTTATAACTCTATCCCTTGTCCCTTATTCAAGTATCAACTGTATTTTTTTAAATGGTAACATACATAATTAACTAGCTCATATTATAGAACATGATCGAACGAAGAATATTAAAATGTCCTTAACAACACTTAAACCAGTAGTTGACGAATTATGAATATTTTTATAACAGGGTGCAACAGTAGCGTGACAGAGTGCTGAGTAATTATCAAAATAACATAACCTGCACTTCATATTTAATTTACATTTAAAAATATTAATAACTCCTGAAATACTGATTCAAAAGTTGTTATCAACCAGTCGTTTTCTTAATTGGATAATTTTCTATTATATGAATTAGTTAAATTTTAATATTTCAATATTTAAAATTTTTATTGTCAATTTGGACAATCTGTAAATTACATATATTTTAAACAATAAACACAAGTGATCTAAAAGTGTTTATATATAAACAGTAATTTTGATCAAAAATAGGTCAATAGCAGTTCTTCATGACTTATGTTGCTGACATTAATCAGCTAATACATTATTAATACGTATTTGTATAAAAAAACTGTATTAGTTATTAAATTAAATATGTGTAGATGTGTTTAGTATCGAAATAAATCATTAACTTTTGTTCACCACTCTCTGTACCAAAATGAGAGTAAGTTAAAATATTTTTGTATTAAATTAGAAGCTATTATAGGAGTAGAATGTAGATTTGGGAAACTTTATTATCAGCGAAGTCGTCAGTAGTGGTATAGTTAGTTGTAGGTTGGTCCAAAGTAAATAAATTAAATAATAGGAGTGCTGCGACAGCCCTTTGGGGTACCCGCAGCTCTTATTTGAGTAATATTTATTATGGATAAGCTAAAACGTATAGCGAAATGTTCTAGGTGTAATTAAAATATTATATAGTAATTGATTGGTAGGACAGATTTAAATTTATATAGGAGTTTATATGCCAGACTATATATATGGATTAAGGGATAGCCTAAAGACTATTTGATTATCCAAAAAATTAGAAAAATAAATAATACTAAATACAATTATGAAATTTTATTTTTATTCTGTTTAGAAGTAATTTTTGATATTTGAGTAGTTAAATACTTTTTAGGTCAATATGTTATCTTTTAAAAAGTACCAACATTATTTTTTTTAATCGCAACAAACATATTTATTAAGTATATAAATTTTAGTATTTTAATATTTATTTGGTAAGCTAATTAATTTGTTATGAAAATTATTAAAAATAAAATTGTAATCTTAGAGACAACTGTCAAAAACAGTGGTTGGGGCGAGAAAAGTATGAAGTAGCCTAGTCACACTAATATTATATTTTATTTTATCTCTCAGAGGCGGTCCGGTTATAAAAACAACCTGTCTAACATGTCATTAAAAATGAGTTAACGAGGAGCTCTCGTACGCACTGACGCGAGCCTGCTCTGCCGCCCGTCATACACAGAGCACTGTATGAATACTTTACGAGTGTGTGTGTGTGTAGTAATCGTCAGGCGGCGACAGTGACAAATGATTACAGAGAGCCTCGGGGCCACGTCACGCTGACTTCAAAACATTATGATAAATCACCTGTCAAACTATCTTTTCAGCATCTGCCAACCGGCATGACAGCAGCATCAAAAGCACTCCCGCCGGTCGTCGACACTCCACTACACTTCCCTTCCAGAATTAGTTCTTCTACTCCGGCAGAGGCGACAACATTGAGGTGACGTTGTTCACCACTACCATACCATTATACTACCACATCAGCTACTACATGTTATTATTATCCATATTACTGTAATACCGTAGCATCAACCAACAGGTTTCAAAAACCATTTTAGCTAACTAGTTTTCTGCTGTAAAAATGTGTTTATGTATATTATATTTTATAATTCATTTGTAAATATTAATGATGGGAAATATCGAATAGTAGCTATTATACTATTCGAATAGTAAAAATATTCGATAGTCTATGCTAAAAATAAACTATTCGGTGTATAAACACAATTCGAATAGTTAATCCATAGTTTAAAATATTCGAAAATGCCCATCACTAGTAAATATCATACATTGCATTTTTTTTTTAAAGATTTCTATAAATATAATTTAAATGCCTATAATTACTTTGTATTTATATTAAGTATAATAATGAATTGTGTACTTTAACTAAGTTGATCAAAATGTTTGTAAATGAAATAATAATGTCAAAATATTGTTATATATTTAAAAAATGTTTATAAATAAATGAGATGAAAATTTATTACTTGTAACTAATATTATTTAAAATTAAAACTATATTAAAAATGTTTAACTCAAAAAACCATAAAAAAAAAAATTACTAAAAAATCGCGGATACGTATATTGGGAACAATATTACCATTGCCAACGCTAAATACTTACTAATACCCAGACCGAAAAAACCCCTAGCGATTTTATCACTAAGTAATATCACATTTTGCCAGTTTACGAAAGTTTAATAATGAATATTTCAGTGTGCCAAGATACTATTTAATTAAATTGTTCTTATTTTTAAACTTTTCTATTGCCTCACTTATATTAAGTTCTTTATAATTATTTACGTTTTTAATTAGTTTTTGGTTTTAATAAAGTGATTAAGTATCCATAAATGCTCTTTAATTTTTTTGTGTTTTTTTGAGTTAAAAATTTTTAATGTAGTTTTAATTTAAAATAATAAATAAAAGTTAATTATAAGTAGGTACATCATAAAAATAAAACATTGAGTCGTAATAAGCATTAGTTTTAATTTTAATCGTTAATTGTTAAATAATATTCTTATCTGATATAAACGTGTAAACAATTTTAAAATAATTAAATTATTTAAATAAAATTTTTGATTTATCACTTATCACAATTAGTTCAAAGTCAATACACATGATGATATGTTTATGTTTCACAATATATTTTTATAATTTTAACACTTCTGATAAAATGTTGGATAAGTAGGAGATAAGTATTCCATTATTGTTGACCTTCAATATCTTGCATTTCTAGAAATATCAAAAATGAGTAGTAAACTTCAATTTAAAAAAAAAATATATGGTTAATCTAATAAGAATATCACGTAAAATACTTAAAATCCAAAGAGAATATAAAAATTGAAACAGTATCAGGTATATGTATTATTAATGATAATATTTTGTGTCTCCTAGACAATTCACATTTGTAATAATCGAGATATTGTTCGAGTAATGCCAATGTTAATGTTTTGTGTAGCAGTAAAAATATTAACTTCAGTAACTAATGTAATTTAATAACAATTGAACTATTAGATGCTTGTTAGTGATTTTAATTATTCGAGTTTTTAATTAAAATAGTAACTGATAATGTCAAGACCTTCTGTGTTGTTGTCTCATAACCAGTTTCCAAAAGATGTAATTGACTTACTCAGTGAAAAGTATTTGAACTCTTTTAAACAAACATGTATCAACAAAATTTTTAATCATTTTTTATTTTATATAAAGATTTGATGTTGAAGTTCTGGATGTTGAAGGGCTAAAAGTGTCAAAACAACTTTTATTAAAGAAAGTTACTGGAAAATTTGGACTTATTGTTTGTGGAATGAACGAAATTGATGAAGAAGTAATTAAAACTGCAGGTTAGATTATAGACAAATAAATAGGCTAAATATTATAAAAAAAATATTTATAAATTTAAATAACAAAATTTATGAAGCACAAAGTTGTTTTATGATCCGCCATTTTATTATAATTATAGTACATATGCTCCATTGTATTGTAAAATGTCACTGGGAAATGATTAAATATTCTAATTTTGATTCTTCTTCATAATAGACCTCAAATGAGTTTTTTTTTTAAGTTAACTAATAATAAAATTATTATATTTCTATTTTAATGTTGTATTATTTGTACTTTTTGCTTACTACCCATATATAGTCTAATAAATAATTAAATAAAAAAGTGTTACCAAAATTTGCATAGTTGTTTTTTATAAACAAATTTTTAAAGGGTGAAGTTGGGTAAATGTAAAAGAATAGTCAGTATATTTTTTAAAAGAAATTCTTAAAGATTTATTTTTAATTTTACTAGCAATGATAATTGTATTTATTTGTCTATAATAGAAATTTTAATCTAATGTAATATTTTCTAATTTTTTTAAGAAAAATAATAAATTTTTAATTAATTATTCCAAAAATAAATCAATATTTAAATATTATTGATACGTTATTAATAGATTTATTTATTTACATAATACATTCAATGTAATTTATTTAGTATACTATCCTCAATTTTCTGTTAAAAATTACTTTTTTATTAATAGTTATTAGCGAGAGGGATACGTAACGTATTAGTATACTTGTCTGTGCGTTATGATAAAAATAGAACCTTGCAAACTCTTTCCGCTTCAGTCAATATTTTATGTAGACTATTTTCTGTTTCCTTCTAAAAAAAAATAGTTCACATGTAAATTAATTAACATATAAAAGTTACTCCTAAAATGTAAATTTTTTTTTAACATTTTTATGAAAAAGTTATTATTTAACAAAAAAAATTATTGTTGTATTTTTAATAATTTTATAAATATAATATGAGGTGTATAGCTTAAAATCAGCTAAAACAATTTTTTGAAATTTTTCAGGAACAACAAAATAAGATAATGAGGTTAAGATTTAACTCAAAGATTTTATAATATATATGATATTAAATCTTGGGAGTATAAACACATTGTTTGTGAATGTTTACTTTAACAAATTATTTTTATTAGAGTTATTTAGTTTTATAATTTTTGTATACCTGGTTTTATTGCCAATTTCATCAGATGGCTGGTTTTGAAATTGACTATGTGATATAGGTAGTTTTGAAACAAACATTCAAATAAAAACTAAATATTATATTTTTTACTGCACTCTTTAATCAATATAAAAACTTTACTTTTAAATTTAAATACTTAAAAATATTAATCAGTATTAATATCGTAGCATAAAATATAAAAATTATCAATTATTAGTTTAGCGTGAAAACAAAAATATAATTGATTATGGCTTGTTTTGAAGTTGATATTGTTAGATGGGTGATTTTGAAACCAATCATATTTTTCATGATTAATTTAAACCAGTTATAGCCTGTTTTTAAGTACAATATTTTTACAGGACATTTAGTACAGTGTGATAATTTAGAAAATACAAAAAAAATCGTTTTAAAAAATTTCACTTATAGCTGGTTTTGAAACTATGTGGTGGACGTGATGCTGGTGTTCCCGTCGCTGCACCTGCGCGTGTCCGGTTGTTCCGTTCTCCCGCATAGGGAAAACCTCAGCAACCACTGGTACATCGTGTACAAGGGAGGCGCTGAGGTCGATCTGCAAAGAGCTGAAGATTTATGAAGTCGGTGGACCACGACCCGTGGGGGAAACCCTATCGGGTCGTCATGCTGAAACTCCGCGGTCCACCGGCTTCGGGTCAGAGCATGGACATCCGAAACGCGTTCAACTCCGTGCGATGGTCACACATCCTCGGAGCGTTGGACGTGTTTCGGGTGCCTCCTTATCTCGAATGAATGATCCGGTCGTATTTTAGCGATCGGGTCATCTCCTATGAGAGCGCTGCTGGCCCAAGAATCAGACCCGTAGCTGGCAGCGTCCCGCAAGGGTCAGTTCTCGGGCTTCTGCGTTTCGCTACCACCGCACGTTCGCGTTGTCTGCTACGCGGACGACACGCTGGTAGTGAAAGGCGCCTCGTCTGAGGAGGCTGGATCTCGTGCGAACTGCGCGCTCAACGCAGTCACCGCCTGGATCCAGCAGGAGAGGAGTGGACTGAGCCTCGTCCTGGACATGACTGAAGCGGTCTTGTTCACGGGCAGGTATAAATTCACTCCTCCACGGCTCGCCATGCTGGGGTGGAGATCCCGCTTAAAGACATCTGGGCCTTTTTTTTTCTCACGGTCGACTTAGTGTTGGACGCCCTGGAACTACATCCAATCCGCTGCACAGCATGACAAGCAAAGGGACGATTACATTCCCGAACGAAGTAGCCATACCCAACCACCCTACCTAGGGACTACCTCTACGTTCTCGGCCCCCGGCGCTTGCCAAAGTGCCTGGCCGACGTCTTCCATCGTGGTCTCCGGTGCAATGTCCCGTATGGTAAACTCCACAGGTTTCCCGATGGTGGTCACCACCGCAGCATCTTTCAAAGCGCTCCGTGCGGCTTCAGCGAGCTCGAATTGTCCTTTCGGTACCCGTAGCTCAATATCACCTTGCCTGGTTTTCTTGAAGGCCGTAACCGTCAGCCCAAGAGCCTGAATGACCACGCCGGGCACGAGTTTTCTCGCGACTTCTGCGTAGGACCGATCACCCTTGAGCTTCACCAGTACGGCTTCCGGTTTTGAGGCAACAGCTTGCCTCGCCCTTTGCCTAAGCGTAGGTAAGAGCTTGGTTTTAGTTGTCGGCTTTACCTTTTCATCCGTCAGGGAGGAAGCTGCGAGCGTCCGCTCCCGCGCCATTCTCCGTTCTTCTGCAACTGGACGAATTCTACAACCAATCCCCTGTTGTATCGCAACCGATGAGGGGGATTATTGAGCTCACGTTGCTCTCCTCGTCTCCTCCGCTTCTTCTTCTTTTTCGGTTGTGGTTCCCACGACACCCTATTTGGACGGATGCATTGGTAGTACGCTGCTTCGGCCTTATGGCCGTCACCTCAGACTCAATACCCGCCCCTCCGCTTTCACAGATCGGCGGACCAGGAAGTCCTCCGTCTGACTCGCATACGTCTTCTCGTAGCGGTTTCAGAAGGCCTACTATCTCAGTGTGACCATTTCCTAGCTGCGTGGTCCAATTTTTTCATGGCCACGTGGACGTTGCGGTTAGCGGCGACAAAAGTGTGCATATCCGCAAGGATCTGTCCATGTTTGGCCAATGCTTTTTCAAGGGCGACTATGTCCTCACCGGCATACTTCCTCCGCCGCTTTACTTGAGGCGACATCCTTGGCGTCACCTGCGGTAAGAGTGTTGCAGCAGGTGAGTGGTCCGTGTCTAGAATCTCTCCCTCCGGAATTGCAGGTCGTGATGGTCTCCTTATAGCTAGCTACATTGTCATCAAATATTCCAGCTTGTTGTTTTGCCAGGGTGACGCTACTAATGAAGCGACCTATAGGGAAAAATGTTTTCGCCGTCTTTCCTGCTGTCCATGAGCAAGTATGGTAGGTGCTCGGACCACGGTTTAATCTTTTCCCAAGAGGGATAAAGCTTCCAGTAGTCGATCATCTTCTCGAAGTCGACCACGTCGTTCTCCGTTAATGATCGCGTCAGTCAATCCACTTCATCTCCTCGCGGCTTCCTCCGCACTGCATCAGTAGCAATAAAAGGCCCACGTGACTGACCAGCCACGCGTGGGACTTCGCGGTCGCTTGGTGTCGACCAGAGTGAGCCCGCTACATTGGGTCCGGTTTTGAAACCTTTCCCACTCCTGCCGACTCCTGAGGCTCCGATACCTCTGGGGGGTAACTTTGGTCTTTGAATTAGAGGCCATAAGTGATTTTTAGAATTTAGGTAAATTCTAACCTGCGTTTTTACTCTACTGCCAAAGGATCTGTTTGGTTTTTATATAAAGGACCGAAGTCTAAATATATAAAATCACTCTTGGAACTCTACCAGTAATTCGAACGCTTAGATATCGTCTTATATCACGGCTACCCTGCATATCTGCGGGGTTAACAAGGGTCCAAGAGGCTCGCTGTCCGCGACCGTTTATTCGTCAGTTCAAGCAAATGGACTGCTTATTTCGTGGCTAACCTGCATACCTGCAGGCCGTTGCTCTATCCGCAACCTGAGGACGCGCCCGATTCCCCAAGCTAGGGAAGCTGCGCTCGTACCGACGTTTCGTAGCCCCGTAAAGCCCCATTTTACCGACACTTTAGCGCAGCGAGACGGGACATATTTGGGCCTGGTCATAGGCAAATGTCTAAAGTTCGGACTGCACGAGTTTTGTGCAGCCCAGCGAGCCCAGAAAGTCATGAATAGCCTGGCGGGAATCATGCCCAATCTGGAAGGGCCGAGGGAAATGCGGCGCAGACTTTTAGTCAGCGTGGTGCACTCGATCCTCCTGTACGGGTTCCCGGTTTGGGCAGATACTCTTGAGTATTCGTCCAAAAACCGTGAAGCCCTGCTCAGGGTGCAGAGGCGGGCGGCGATCCGGACAATTTCGGCGTACCGAACGGTGTCCGGAGTGGCTGTTGTCACTGCCGCCCGCCGAGGAACGCGCCGCCGGGCATGAGCTCCGCCGAGGACCGGCTGGCACTCAGGCGGATGACCATACTCCGGTGGCGGACTCGTCTCTCAGAGGAAACGACGAGAAGCGAGTGGACCCGGTCCCTTATAGGACCCGATCGGCTGGACAGGTGGGTGGACCGGACTCACTGTGAGATGACTTATCATTTCACTCAAGTAATGTCCGGCCACGGCTGTTTTAACGAGTACTTAAACCGTATTCGCAAAGCAGCCGCGCCGACGTGCGACCACTATTCGGATCGCCCGGGAGAGGCTGACAACGCTCTGCACACTCTCTTCTGGTGCGAGGCGTGGGCTCAGGAGTAGAACTCTTTGGAGTCCCGTCTAGGGTCCACGTTCCGAGTTGGGTCCATGGTGGACCTGATGTTGAGGAGTCGGTAAACGTGGAGGCTCGTCCAGGCGTTCGCCGAATCCATCTTGATAAAGAAGGAGGAAGCAGAACGCCTGAGTTAGAGATAGCCACGCCACCCAGCACAGGAGGACCTGAGACGCTGGTTTAGGCCGGTACCTTAGGTTCTTGTTTTTGTTTGTGAGTTATTTTGCCAACCCTCCCTAACGGTTCCCACTCTGGGATCCGGTTAACGGGAGGGAGCCACACCATGTTGCGAATCAGCTCTTGATTAATTTCGGGCTGATTCTCAACGTGATGGTGTGAATTATTAAGACGGCGTGGGCCGCCCTGAAGTAATGCCTAACAACAGTTCCAGGGCGGCTCACAATAAGACGGTCGAGGGAAAAAATGGTTTTGAAACTATACGCCTCATATAACATAATTTTTTTTTTTTTTTAATAAAATATCCTTGTATTGAAATTGTATTAAAACTAATTAATAATGTTGAAATAATAATGATAGGATATTACATTTATCAGGTACAAATTTAAAAGTTATAAGTACTACATCAATGGGATATGATCAGATAGATTTAGATGCTTTGAAAAAAAGAGGAATACGGTTGGGTAACTCTTCTATTGTTACTGCCGAATCGGTTGCAGAACTTACTATTGGGTTATTAATTGCAACTTCACGATGCTTTTTTTCATTAAATCAAGAACTTAAACTGTGAGTCCAAGAGTTTATTTGTATACAATTGTTTTATAATATTAAACTTCATAACAGATTTTATTATTAATACGTAAAATACGTATTAATTAATAATACATTATTAGAGCAAAGTTTGTTTAATTTCACTTTATAAAATAGCTCTCTAGAAAAAAACAATTTAGGGGCTTGCTAAAATAATCTGAAAAGTCCAATTTTTTACAGAATACTATATTTACCCAGAGGCGCAACAACCAGATTTGTCTGATAATTAGACATTGAGCTACAGTAAAAAAGCACAGTCTTATTTCGCTACAATTATACATAAAACAAATTAGATTTTTGTTTATAGTGCAAATTATTTTTAAATATAATTGCCAGGTTCATGCGTTAAGTTCTTCAGTTAAAAACCTAGTATGGTATCAATCTTAAATTATATAGGCCAGTCAACGAAGGAAAAATGGCGGAAAAATTCCCAACCAAATTTTTATTTTTTAAAAAGTTGAATTAAGATATGTTTGGTGACATACTAAAAGTCCTCATCGATTGGACTTGAGCTTTTTTTTTACAGCCTCGCAAAAGTTCAAAAATATGAGCTTTTTTAATTTTCTCAAAAAATATTTAACTTACAAAAAAAAGTTTCGTACAAAAGTTATTTAAAAAACAATTTTAAACAAAAAAGGTATCTTATATTTTTTCATTTAAACAAATATTTTTCGAGTTACATTACATTTAATATGAGTACTAAAATATATTTTCCAATTTTTTTCATTTTACGGTTACTTTTTATCATGTTATACTTACATTAGACAAAATGTTATAAATGCATATGTGTGTATGTGTAATTTTATTTATTTATAGTATCATTAAAGTGTAGTGTATAATAAGAAACAACCGATAGAGTAGGTAATTGATTTGACGCTATATTGTATAAACCCAACAAAACGCTAAAATGTACATTCCCAAACAACAATTATATTATGTCAATTAGCACCGTAATTTCTGGTAATGATAAAGAAAGTTATCATAAAACGTATTGGCCTTTAGTCAGGTGCTGACGCTAGTAAAAATTGTGCCTGCCGAAAAACAGGTCTTAAATGTTCTATTATATGTGACCATTGCTAAAGTCAATGGCGTACAAATTCAATAGAAATAAAGATTGAAGATCAAGAAAATTGTACTTTTGTTGAAGATATATTTTATCAATATTTAGACTGGGATAATGAATAAGAAAATGGAAAAAAATTTTGTTTGATACATTTGTCAAATAACTTTATAGTGGAGAAATCCTCCATCGATTACAAACTTTGCACTAGTAATGCATATAACTTGAATTTAGGATATAAATACGGAAATAGGAGATCATGTAGTTTTTGTAATAATCCATTAAAATTTTAAAATTAAACACTATCTACAGATTTGCATCAAGGCGTTGTTTTTTGATAATGATTTTAATCACAGTCACATATCATCTATACTACACCCAATTATACACACTGTGCCGGGACACTGCTGGTTTTTTTTTTAAATAGCGATTTGTTGAAATAGTAGCTATGGGTTTACTTTAATTATTTCATTATTAATTTTAACAATAGAAGTTATTGAAGATACAGTTATAACTTTATTTGACCTATTAAGATTTATATCATAAAAGTTATTATCCACCATTGAATTTACTAGAACAAGACCAATTTTAGACACTTTATGACAATTAATTTTATCGTTACCAGAAATTCTGGCTGGGTTGACAAAAGAGAATATGAGGTAGATGAAATAAGGAGATCAGTGACAATAGGCGAGAGTGTGAATGGGGAGGTAGAAAGTTTTAAGTATTTAGGATCAATAGTGCAAAAGAGCGATGGTATTGACGAGAATGTAAGACACAGGTTTAAGTGCGGGTGGTTGAAGTAGAGAGAAGCGTCTGGTGTCTTATGCGATAAAAGATTTCCAATGAGGCTAAAAGATAAATTCTACAATAATGTAGTGAGACTAGCTTTGATGTATGGTTCAGAGTGTTGGGCGGTTGATAAGAAAGTAGAGCAGAGAATGAGTGTAGCAGAGAAGAATGCTTAGTTGGATGAGTGGAGTAACTAGAAAAAATAGAAAAGGAACGAGCATATAAGAGGGAATGTAAGTGTAGCGTCAATCGTGTATAAGATGAGAGAAAATAGACTTAGATGGTTTGATTATGTTATGAGGAGAGAAGAATCGGAAGCTGTAAAAACAGTTATAGAAATTAATGTTGAAGGAAGAAGAGGTAGAGGAAGACCAAAAAAGAGATGGAGGGATGCTATTGAATGCAATTTGAGGACAATTGATGTGAGCGTAGAAGATGTGGGAGATCGTGTCAAGTGAAAGTTTAGGATGAGGGTGGCCGACCCCATGTAGTTGAGATTAAGGCAAAGAAAAAGAAAAAGATTAGCAAAAATTCTGGTGGCAATTGACATAATATAATTGTTGTTTAGGAATGTACATTTTAGCGTTTTGTTGGGTTTATACAATATAGCGTCAAATCAATTACCTACTCTATCGGTTGTATCTTATTATACACTACACTTTAATGATACTATAAATAAATAAAATTACACATACACACATATGCATTTATAACATTTTGTCTAATGTAAGTATAACATGATAAAAAGTAACCGTAAAATGAAAAAAATTGGAAAATATATTTTAGTACTCATATTAAATGTAATGTAACTCGAAAAATATTTGTTTAAATGAAAAAATATAAGATACCTTTTTTGTTTAAAATTGTTTTTTAAATAACTTTTGTACGAAACTTTTTTTTGTAAGTTAAATATTTTTTGAGAAAATTAAAAAAGCTCATATTTTTGAACTTTTGCGAGGCTGTAAAAAAAAAGCTCAAGTCCAATCGATGAGGACTTTTAGTATGTCATTATACATATCTTAATTCAACTTAAAAAAAAAAAAAAATTTGGTTGGGAATTTTTTCCGCCATTTTTCCTTTGTTGACTGGCCTAATAAGTGTAAATAATTTAGTGAGTTATTTATCGACATGGTTCCGCGTCGCCTTCATCAGCAGTCGCCCTAATACGTGTATATGATAGTCTGACTAACTCCGCGTGCCATACGTCACAATACAAAGTCCACAAAGTGCCGCATGTCCGACGACGACCCGCCGCAAATATACGTTGAAGTCATCTTTGTGACACCGCCATATTATAACCAACGTTGCTTCTGAACTAATTTTCTCACCTCACCGTAAGGTGCCGATTACTATGTTTCCTTGTTGGTAATTATTGTGCCGGTCTTCGGTGTCAAATATTTGCGTACTACAATATTATTATTATTGTTTCTCCTTTAAATAAATCGCTCGACGTCAATCAGTGAACTATAAAACTTGTGTTGTCTACATTTATTGTGCTCGGCACGTTAGAGTCCTTCTATCATTATAAAGTTTTCTCAGCGTTAATTTTATCAAAAGTTAAAATTAAAAAATAAAATAAACATAAATATGTAATAATTAATCATATTAATAATTTTCTTGTAAAAATTAATAATTAGTATTTTATATTAATATTATATTATAAATTATAATTATACCTAATGCATTATAATTTTTAGTTTTTAATTGATTTCAAATTTTCAGAGGAAAAAAGCAAGTTAATTCAAGCATAGGTTTATTGAACTCTGTGGTTGGTATTATTGGTTGCGGTAATATTGGTATATCTATAGCAAACAAACTCAGTGCATTTCATTTAAAAAAATTGTTATATACTAGCCGACAACAAAAAGCTGTAGGTAGTAAACTAATTAAAATAATTTCTATCAGTATTAATTTTTTTTTAGAGCTGTGTACGGGGTAGTTATACAGAATTCTACTTAAAAATTTGTTGTACTCAAAGTCCGGTTAGATTGGATCCAACCATTCTTTTTAGTGGTCGGATTTAAAATGATTTCGTAAAATTTTCGGATTAGATCGTGCTAAAAACAGTAATATGGGAAATACTGAAATTAGATTGAGTTCAGTTTTTAAATTTTCTATTTAAATCGGATCAATTTTCGGATTATTAATTATATCGGATTGCATTAATTCAAAATTACTTTGAATTTTATCGGTTGAATTTATATTATATTAATAATAATATAAAATTATAATAACATTATAATTTATATTATTTATATAGATTGAACTTATATTTTTTGGCACATAACGAACTTTAATGTAGATCATTTTAGTAATAATCATTACTATCGTTAATCTTTTATTTATGAAAATAATATGGGAAGATGAAACAAAAAAAAAAATCTATCAAGAAAGCTACGCTGTCACGTTAGCCAATGTCAAATACTTATAATTACATATAAGTTATTGTTTCAAATCATAATTTGAAGTTTAACTAAACATGTGTTAATATTTTCATGATTATATCTATTATAAACAGTATCGTTTTATTTCGTCACATTCACTCCAAAATTATGTATCTTGATTTTCGAAAATTCTCTTAAGGAATTATAAATTATATCATTTTTTTTATTTAAATAGAGTTTTTAATATGCTATTATTATAAAAATATAAACGATTATAAAATCAATTAAAATAGAGAACAATACGGTAGAGTCAATTGTAGGATACATAAATTCATTATTCCTCTTGGAATATTTAGTAAATACTTCAGATAAACTTCTAATACTAATGTATATTATTAAAATATCTTTTTAAAAATATATTTACTATTACCCCATTTGTTTACATTTACTCCACTTGACCTTGAGTATGAATTAAAAAAAAAAATCTTAAAATGTCAAAATGTGCAGTTTTGAAAAGGTTATAAAATTATACATATTTATCATTTTAAAATTACGAATCTATTTAAAAAAAAATTTAGCATATTAATTTGTAATATTTAAAATTAAAACTATATTAAAAATATTATTAATTAAAAACTAAAAAATATTAAGAATAATAAACTCAAAAAGCTACAAAAAAATTACCAAAAAATCGAGTATGTGTTTAGCGTTAATTTCGTTGGAAAACGTTGTTTCCGAAATACGTATCCGCGATTTTTTAGTCATTTTTTGTGGCTTTATGAGTTTAATATTTTAGCTTCGATGCGAAGCTGAGAAGGTATTGGTTTTACTAAGATGTGTTTTTTTTTTTTTTTTTTTTTTTTTTTTTTTTT